ACCGCGACGATCAAATAAAACGCGGAAAGCATCAAAAAATATATCAGGGTAGGATTGAATTTTTTTTCGTTGTAATAATTCTTTTTCACTTATATCAGCTTTAACCGAAACGAATGTTATAGCTTTAACAGTACTTTTGAATCGTTGATATAAGAATGTACCTAGGCAACAACCATATGAATGACAAACGAATACCATAGTTTCACTAGGATAAAGTTTCAAAAGTTCTTCCAGATCATCGACCAAAGATTCTGTTTTGTAATCATCCGATCTTTATATATATATATATATATATACAACATATGATTATCATCTATTAACCATTATTAGAACCAACACACTACGTATTAATTTTTACTAATTTACCTTTTTGAAATATAACTTTTTCCACATCCTAATAAATCAATAGCCAATACATTTGCAGTGGAAGAAAAATATTCTAACTGATATTCCCACTGTGCAACCTTTATTCGACCCAAACCCGTAATTTATTATATATAATAAAATATTATTATTACAAAAAAAAAACTTTTTATAACTGAAAGAATAAAAGAAAGTTAAAAATAAAATATATGAAAAAATTTTATAAATTCTAACCTGGCCACCGATTCCATGTATAAGTACTACTAAAGGTACTATAGATCCAAGTTGGTGAGGAATGTAAACAATTCGATATCTTTTATTTCGGATTATTTTATAGTCCGTATTCTTCTGAACTATTAACGGTTCTTCTATTTTGCATTAAACATATATATAAAATAAAATAAAATAATATACATTGCAACTTTGGTTAGAACAATAAATGACGAATGTAAGCATTCGAGCAATTTAGCTCGTCTGACTAATATACCATATACCATACCGTCAATAGCTTTATTCCTCAAGAAATAAGGGGTCAAAACTAAGCCGCACATAGTTACAATAAGTGGAATGATTATAGTTAAGGGTTGAGTAGGAGCACTTAGCGGCCAAGGCGGTAAATATGTCAACCAAAAGTTAGAAATGTCAAAAGAATGCATTATTTGTTTGAAAAGGAATTTCAAAAACTACGCGCCTCTGGCGTGTTTTCACTTTTATTTAAGTCAATAAACCAAATGTTTTCGGAATTAAAAGTACTTTGCTACTTTTATATTAGTAGAAAAAGATAGACAATAAAAGTCAACAACGTGTATTTTTGATTTTTTAATTTTAAATGCTGTCTCAGAAAATAGTTTTGAAAATCCAATAAATTTGACACCTGGGTGGGATTCTCAGTTTTATAGGTTCCTCAAACTGTCGTGTGCTGAATTCTAATTAATGATTGGCTAATACCTTTCTACAAAAGGAAATTACATTTATGGATCCAGTTTTGGGGCCTAAATAATTAAACGCACTGGCCTAATTGATCAACCCAAAAAAAAAAAAAAAAAAAAGATATCGCGTGTGGAATAGGGGGAATAAACTACTAATTCATGAATTTTGAATTTTACACGTTGTAACAATGACCGACATTAGCACACCTTATCATACAACAAATCCACCACATAAAGAAATAATGGAAGAAAAAACAGATTCTTCTGATGTTAGGTCAGTACAGGTTCTGTCAGTAGCATATACAGAAAATGATCCCACTACCGAGTTCTTCTGTACGTTATAAAAACAAATTATCTAAATTATCTTCAAAAATAACCATTATTCATACATAATTTTTCTCATTTTCTATTATTTATTTTGTAGACCGTCCGAGAACTTTGACAGTACTAACTGCTATGTTGATCGGGTTAGTATATGTTGCAATGTATCCTGAAGCCGACGATACAGCGACAAATATTAAATTGTAAGTACATAGAATTTAATTAGCATATTCAATGATTGGCAATGATTGGAAGAGTATTAAAACTCAAAAATATATATATATATATTTTTATTTATAGTGGAACTTGGGCGGGAATATTTTCATTCCTTCTTTTTGCGATGTTACAATTCCGAGATGGACCATTTATTCGACCACATCCAGCATTCTGGCGCGTAGTATTAGGTCTTGGTGTACTATATCAAATGTTTCTTGTATTTCTTTTATTTCAGGTAGTAACATAATTTTTACATCAATAATTATAATTTTTATCAAATAAAAAATTAATTAAGTTGTTAATAATTTAGAACAAACGCGATGCAAGGT